TGCAAAAACTATGAGAAAGTGATAATCCTCTCTCCTCACTGGTAGTATTAGCTTTATCCTAAGCAGCCTCCAGGCCCCTCCACTCTGTAACACTCTAAAATGCAAATCCCCTGCCTAAAATGCCTTAATAACACCTTATTAAGTCTATTATTAGCACAGATTCCAGTCTATACTTCCAAACTCACCCTGGACATATGCAGCTACTGTGCTAGGTTGCCTATACCTTGTATTTTATTGCAATACACTCCTCTGCCTGACACAGTTGCTCAACTTGGCAATCCAGACATCAGTTAAAATTCAGTTCAAGTGTCTTTGACAGCCTCTTCTCATGTGAGAAACTGTGTTGTTCACTCCCTCCTTTATGCCACTGCTGACTATACTATCTATGATTATTTACTCACATGCCTTCTTTTCCTTCAAAACTGCCATCCACATTGTATTCTCATGTACAACACCTATAAATCGACACTACCCAATAAATGCTTAGGAGTGAAGAATGTGTGTTCCTTTATAATTATTTAGTGGATTTAGAACACAAAAGATTGTCGTGCATTTAGTGAATAGACACGCTCTGATTATCTATTATGTTTAGAACATTGTATGAATAGAAAGGTGATTCAAGGACAAAATTGATCATAATGGTTTCCTAGACAGGTTTGTGTCCAGCAAGAAAACAGAAAATAAACATTACTTAATATCATGAACAAATGCATGCAAAGCCAGTAAAATTCTTCAGTATCAAATACTAATGTGGAACTTAGTCCACTCATGTAGATTAATTTCTAGACATGAGTTTGAGTCTGAATTTTATTGAAAATAAAAACAGACTTTCCAAATCTGAGATGTAGCACATGCAAAATTATAGAAGAGTCATTCTTTGCAAAAAGCATTGTAAAACTTAAAAACAAAAGGAAAAGATTTTTTTGGTGGAAATATGAAGTGACAGTGGTAAGACAGGGAAGTGGTATGCTGGAGGGCTTTAAGGGAATAGCAAAGAAACACAGATTTGATGTGATAGGCAAAAGGAGCCTCTCCGAGTTCTAGTGTAGAGCAGGTTTAGGAAAACATCACTGTTTGCTTATGATAAATCTTCTAAGTTTATGTGTTTCTAAAAGATTAAAGTAGTTAAAATATAAACCAAATAATTATAGCTAGACAACTTGTAACAAGAGTTAGTTTCTAATCTAAACCATTTAAATGCTAAAATTGACCAACGATAAAAACTAAAGTCTGTATTAGCTCCCAGTGCCCTCAATTTTCTTATTAATGCTATGTCATTAAACATAATTTATAGATATGTCCATGTCTAAACCAACATAGAAATCTAATATTAGTTGCTAGAAAAGCATGGCAATGTTCAAGTTATATTATTCAGCTGAAATTGCTACAGACATATAAGAAGATCAGTCTTCTGCCTCAAAAACGTATGTAGTTAATTGTGATATGTCTAAATCTACACAGGGATATGGAAGAGATAGAATGAGAAATAAAAGATAAAATTAAAAACCTATGTGTTATAAAGCCAAAGTTATGTATAGTGGTGCATTTTCCCACACTTCTATACTACCCATGAGGTATTTACATTTTTTCTATGACACTGAAAAGAAATCCTACAAATAGATAGCATTACAAAGTGGTATTTCTCTTTGGAATTAATGTTTTCTTAATCTCTAAAAAGGTCAAAGGTCACCTCCCTTTGACAAAATGACTGAGATCAGCAGCTGGGGCACTTGAGGTTCCTAGGACACTTCACTTTTACCAACTGAATGATTTCCTATTCACTAAGCTCTTAATCTACTCTTTATCTCTTCAGTGGCTTGTGATTGTCACAAATTGTTAATAATATTCCATTTAATTTCCAAGGATTTCCTCGCCATATGTCTCTTTTAGAAGGATCATACAGAATTAGTCCTCCTTCCGACAGGTTACAAAGTAGCAATCTGGCTTGGATCACAGTCACTACTGAAATACAACAAAGAATTAAGGGAATAATTTATCAAAATTACTAAAATTGGGAAAGATTCACCTCAGCTTTCTGAAAATTATTGGAAAAAGAATATTCTGGCCTGATTTATCTAAATGACTTCACATTTTCACCTCACCTGGTAATATATACAAAATTTCAGTCTAGTGTCAGAGAGCTCTATTTTTGCATCCTAAAGACATTGATCTTTCATAATTGACTTGTGAAACCAGCCTCCATCCTGACAGCTTCACACTATGGCATTTTATAATTCAGTTGTCCAAATAAGCTGTTCCCTCCTATATTAACCACTACACTTAAAAAAACATAAGGGCTATGTATTAAACATTCCATATTTCATTGATAATATTCTCTATTTTATCTCACTTTAGAGTTCTTTGTTGCTTTTCAGTTGAACTAATTCAGACTAGGGAAAAAATTTTTTTTAAAAAAGTATTGTTGAAGATGCAAGCAGTTTCCTATAGAAGATAGCCGCTTTCCTAGGGAATGATTCATTTAGAACAGTAGCAGCTTCCAGACTTCACACATTACTTCCCCAAATTCGCTGAATTTAGCATTAGCCAGCTTGATACTAAAACACTCAGAACTCAAAGACATGTGGGTGAACTCAAGACATCTTTTTTTCTAGTCTTATTCTAAAAGCTCCCAGAGCTACTTTTGATTTATTTGTTGTATTTCTACTTGTAAATACATACGGATGGCATTTACAAAAATCAGGTCGAGATTTGCCAGTTTGGGAGCCATTCAAGTTTCTTTGTGATTATGGTTTAAATGGTGTAGGTATTAATTTCTGGATTATAATTCTGTTTATTCCCATTTTAATACTATTAACTGCTAACAAGAATTAAACATCCATGATACATAAGAGTATATGAGCATGTCACATAATCAAGTATGCATCCTTCAGCTAAATGCACTTACTGTTCCTTTGTTTCCAAGATCATTTGTTTATAAGAAAGATCTTACCAGTTCACAACTCTGTCCTGAAAACATTTGATTACCAAATGTTTGTAACTATACATTAAAATGCATTTTAAAATAATGATGGCAGTAAGCCAAAGCTCCTGAATTATATCATGGCATCTTTCAAACCCTAACATGTTACATAGATCTAGGTGCCTGTGACTACTGCCAAGAACAGAGGGCATCTGTGCTAAGGAGTGTCCTTCTTGACCACATGGCCTGCCATTTTATCTGATAGGATGCCATCTGTTCATCCTGCTGCCATTCTCTAGGGGAACTGGGTTAAAACTACAGGATATTAAAATTAGTCACACTGCCTACTGTATTTTTTAATTGACAGATTATTCATATCAGTGAATTTTTCTCACAGGCTATTTGTTCCATAAAATGGTGAAATACAAAGGTGTTTATGACTAAAAGAGTACATGTTATAATGAGAACATTTATAATTTTTCAGGTTAAAAACATTGACTCTGGAGTCAGGTTGCCATGGTTAAAATTCCAGCTCCACCTCTTACCAGCTTTGTGAATCTAGGCAAGTGTCCTTACTGTATATAATTGCCCTCATCTGTAAAATGATGATAAAAGTTCTCTCTACCTTACTGAGTTGTTAGAAAGGTTCAGTAAAAAATCAAATATATTTATTGACATAAGATAAACCCTCAATATGTATGAGTGTTACTATAAAGAATCATCTTGGTTTAATATGAATCTTAAATTAGTATGAAACAACTTTTGAAAACTGAACATTAATGCCATTTAAGATGAGATGTGCTATACAGAGAAAAGTTACAAGTTGAATCCAATTTCTCAAATGTGCTTCATATGATTTTAAAGATATCCCATATCCATATTTTAAGAATCATCCATTTTTATGCCTTTTCACCCGTGTATTATGCAGTGTTTTATTATTGTAAGTCATTTTCTGAAATCCTGTGAACCAAAGTGTCATTGACAAGAACACACAAAACATTGCCACAGCCACACGGAACGCAAACAGAACTTCCATTTCATGACCTGTTTAAAGGCATAATTTCTCTTTAAAATGTTGAAAAGTCTTTCTGTAGGGAGCAAAGCAACAATCCATAGCCAGTACACTGCTTTCATTGTTCCGTTTAGGGACTCTAGAGGCATTTTTGTCTTTCATTTTTATGCATACAATAAATACAGGTTATAATTAATACAAAAAGGTAGATTTAGAAAGAAAAGAAAGTAAAAGAAAAGTTAATATACAGGCTCTGGAAGTAGGCACATAAACTCATTTGCTTGATGATGGCATTTGACTGGGACCTTTGTAAACTCCAGTTGGCTGAACTCTTTCTGGTCCCACCCACTGCCTAAGAACAGCAGGTGCCTTATTCAGCAAAATAGGGGCCTGATTGGCCAGAGGCACTCCATTTATTCACTGTACTATTTATGTTTCCTATGTAGTAATTTCCCTCCTGGGTATGCTGTTTTTCAGTATTATAAAGTAAACTAATAAAAGGGAACTATAATAATTTTTAAAAATGTAGGTAAAGCATAATAATAAGCAAAAGTATTATTCTAAAATCAAAGTCTTCATATATGCAACTTGGAAACACTTGAATTAAAAATGTATTGTCTTCAAATACAAATTCAATGAAATTTCAATATTTTGGGAAACATATACCACACTATCTTTTTAAGCTCTAACACACAGGTTAGCAATCAGACCCTACACATCTTTACCAAAGATGGCACTTGTTGTATTCGAGTTAGATTCAAAGAGTCTTCCAAGGTAGAAGAGAGTTTGCATTGATCAGAATAAAAAAGTGGATTTGTTTTAAATATATTAAATTGGCATAAGATTGCTTTTTATAATTACTAATTGTTTTCAGTTGATCCAAATTCAGTATTTGATCTTATATCTTTTGGAGATATAAATACATAACTTATGTACCAAAAAGAATACTCAAATAAATTTTACTACTCAAACTTTGTATAACTCATGACTTATAGCACATTCATATTCAAAAGGTCATAATAAAAAATCAGAATATAGTGGCTTTAAAACAAAAAAGATGTGACTTACCTCTTCCCACTGATGTATGTATCTAATTAACCTTGAAAGTCGCAATAAGCGCAAGAGACTGAGAATTTTTGTAAACCTCACAATGCGCAGTGCCCTGGCTGTCTTGTAAACTTCGGAATCCATCCCTTTTTCTACAATAAGGAAGATATAATCCACTGGGATTGATGAGATGAAGTCAACCACAAACCAGCTTTTTAAATAATTCATCTTGATCACTTTAGGGTCCAGGATGATTTCAGAACTGTCTTCATTGACAGTCCCAGTCCTAAAATTCATGATCAAGTCCAACAGGAAAATGGTATCTGATGCCACATTGAAAATAATCCATGGTGTTGTTGTTTGTTCTGTAAAGAATGTGATTCCAACTGGTATGATGACCAGATTTCCAACCATCATGATAAGCATTATTAAATCCCAATAAAACCTACAACAAATAAAAAAATCAGATTTTGAGATGTAGAAAATAACCAGCTCATTCTCTTCCTCCCATAAAAATATTACTGATTTATAGTTAAATATACAAGCCAGAAAACAAAGAAATGCTTTTTAAACAATATAATTGATTCAATGTCTACACATTAAATTTTAAGTGAAACTAATGTTTGTCTAAACTGAGGCATTATAATTATAGAATTATTAAATTATTAATGTATAGTAAATTATACTAATAGAATTCAAAAATACCCATAACCCCTATTTATCTAGTAAAGATGCAAAAGAGAAATTTTCATATTGTTAATGCAAAATATAGAGGGAAACAAGATAAAATGTAAGATTAAAAGATTTTACCTTTTTAAAAAACAGCCTTTGGGAAGAAATTTTAGAGATGTCCGGGAATGTATTGTATGTCAAATTTACAATTGTAGTTTAGAATAAACAGTAATAAGTAGAATGCTCTAAAAATTTTGCTCTACTAGTTCATCTCTGCCATGTTCCTAACATAGCTTATAGTTTTGCAGTACTCCCAAATATTTATATTTTATTCTTCTGTTTGAAATAAGAGAATTAATTTTGGTCTAATGCAGAAAAGAAATGAACAGACTATATTTCAGATTTGAAATTAGAATCTACCTAAAATCTGAACTTTTATCACTTATTCCTTGGGGTACTTTAAATATATTTTGCTATTTTTCAAAACAATTTATTTCTTTAAAGTTTTTAATTTTATTTTGAATATGCCTATGATTCCTAACTACATTTTGGAACAGTCATATCAACTTACATTAAAATTGGGAAAAAAATCATAATTATATAGCTTATATTAATCAAAAATAATTATAATGTTGTTTTCATAAGGGTTCTCTCAAAATCTTTTGACATTGCAGTTAACCAACCAAGTAATAACTATTTATAATTATTACAATGAATATGTTCTTATAAAAAGGAGAAAACTAATCAACTAACAAATGTTTAATCATGAAATAATTTCTAGAAACATGATTTGCTTTATCCTAGAAATAGGTATTATCTTCTGAAATTTTTTTGCTGCATAAAGAATTTAAACTTCTATGATATAAATGTCTGTTAACCAAGAATTATTTGTTTTATATTATTTACCCTACTTAGACTGAGTTACATCCTGGTAAGTTATATATTTCCATAAGCCTTTTGAAGTTACTATTATCCTTAATTATGACTGATCCTGGGATAAAAATAATAGCATAAGAAAGAACTGTAATCGGCACTTTCTCCCATGTCTCTGATGCCAGGATTTTGCAAAGGTTTGTTGTTTTCCAGATTTCACCACTACTCCTGTCAAAATTTACCTGTACATTTATGAGCAAGTTTAAGATACTCATGTAAATTGTACATCATGCTTCATGCACTAGAAATTTAAAAATGTAAATGAACATTTTTTTTCTTCTCTCAATGGAAATGCAAACTGTGGCATTAACACACTAAGGTCAGAATAGAGATATAGAGGTGAGGCAATATTGCAATAGCTGCTTTGCAAAAATATGACATCATTGATCTCAAAAATGAAATTATGTGTACCCTGAGGATTTTTCACTTCTAGATGCTCTTATCCATTTCTTCTATGAGTTTCTCTCTCTGCTGTCCCCTTGATGGCTGCTTTTTACCCCTGGGTATCACACAGTCCTTTCATCTTCTATTCTACATGTGCTCCTTGGACAATATTATATATTTATCCATGTCTTTAATGATTGATTTGTAACTGATGGCTCTAAAAGCTTTATCTCTGGTTCTTTCCTGTCTTCTAGGACTCCAGATTCTCATAACCAACAGCCTATTAAATCTATCCCCTGGCATGTCTCACACTCATCTCAAACAGTATAACTAAGTCAAACTCATACTATCCCATTCCCCTTGCATTCCTCCCTGTTCCTTGTCTCATGGAATGGAGCAACTTTCTATGTGATTTGCAAGCCAGAAATTTTGGAGCCATCCTAACGTAAGTTCTGGTCATGAATCTACTCAATCCCATATCCAATCAATCACCAACACTCTTTTTCTCTCACGCCTAAAAATATGTTACAGTATTGCATGATACTCCATTAACATGTACAACTTTTATGCTTTTGTATCAAGTAAAAATAATAATAAAAATTTTAACTACATCACAATATTCACATGTAATAAAAAAATTTCTTTCAACATTTAAATTTAAAATAAAACATTTTGTATTTATTCATTTGCCTCTCACAACTCCCAATGTGGCTGTCCTCATTCAAAAAGTCTTAAGAGATGTTCAAAATTGGAGGTAAGTTATATAAATTCTCTATCCTAAATATTCTCATCTGCAAAATTAAGATTATTAGGGAACCAAATGCTTAGCTTTTACGGATTAAAAAGATTAAATAAAATGATATATGCAATTCAAGGACCTGACCCATATAAACTGGCACGTGATGTTGCTGGTATAGTCACTACCCTTTAATCCTTCCTTCCTTCCTTATCAAAAGAAATCCAATTTTACAGGAGTAGACATTGAAAAACAGACATTCTTGTATTTCTGCCATTGAGGTGGAAACTTTTTTTGAAAGAAAACTAATATGCCATTCTTCTTGGTCAATAGAGATGAAAAGAATAAAGTGTCATGGAGTCTACATTATTGCAATAATGTTCACCATACCATAGCTTTTTATTAGCAGTACTGAAGCCATTAGATATTCAGTATCAATATGAAGCTCCATTAATCCTTATAATATCTTCAGAGTATCATTTACTCTATTTCATAAGCATAAACACAAATTTAGTTATAATCTTTGTGTAATAAGCATTTTCTTTGGTTAAAAGATTCATTCCTTGGGTAGCTAAATAAAATACAGTTATTATCCATTCTAGAAATAGGATATAATTCTGTTTTGTTTTGTGTTTAAGCAAAGAAGTGTTTCAGAAAACTGACCTCATGAGAATCTCTTACCCAACTGTCCACAAGTTGCTCTTCCTGACTCTTTGCTCTAAAAATTTCTCTTGGCTACCCAGGCTCTCCCCTTCTATGTCTTACAGATTTTATTGACCAAATCAGCTTTCCAATCTATCCCCTCTTTCCATTCCCATTGTTACCTGATTCTCCTGGAGCTATTCTACCGGTCCTTCAAATGCCATCCTGAAAATGAGTTTCTTAAGTGTTTTTTTCTTGGGGGGGGGTGTTTTTGTTTTAATGGACTATGTTTTTAGAGACAGTTTATATTCACAGTAAAATTGGGCAGAGGAAACCAGGCAATGTGGTGCATGCCTATAATTCCTGTGGCTTGGGAGGCTGAGGCAGGAGGATCACAAGTTCAAAGCCAATCTCAGCAAATTAGTGAATTTCTAAGAAACTTAGGGAGACCCTGTCTCGAAATGCAAAATAAAAAGGGCTGGGGATGTATTTCAGTGGTTTAGTGTCCCTGGGTTCAATCCCTGGTAACAAATATAACAAAAATAACAAATATAACAACAAAACTGGGGAAGAGGGTACATAGGTTTCTCATATGCCTCCTGATCTGACACATATGTGCATAGCCAACCCCATTATCAACATCTCCCACCATGGCAGAACATTAATCACAAATGATGAAACTAAATTGATCACTAAAAAACTACATCGACTTATGTTGACATCTTATTATCACCCAAAGTTCTAATGGATTCACCATTGTACATTCTATAGGTTTTGGAAAATTTATACTGAAATACATATGCATGAGTACTTTCATTGGCCTAACAAGTCCCCTGTGCTCTGGCTATTTTTCCCTCCCTTTCCTGACTTCTTGACTTTTTTCAACGCCCAAAACAACATATTTTCAGAATGATTCTTATTCTATTTTTGCTTCTGTAACCGTTTGTCCTTGCATTGCTGGATTTAAGTTCTTTGGAGTTCAAAATAATATTTTGTCTTCTATTTATTTCCCACTGCAATGTAGACAGCATCTAAGATAGCAAATGCTAAGAATATATATTAAATTAATTTTGAATGGAAACATTTACTTTACTGGGGATATTTAAAGAAAACTTTTATAAAACAAGAGTTAATAATATTAACAACAGAATATATTAAAGTAAATAAAACAGAAAACAAACTGGGAAACAGGAAAGAAAGAGAATAAGAATATATTTTGGGGTTAGACAATCAGAAAATAATGTTTTAAATTTGACTTCTGACTTAGCATATTATAAGATCTATTCACTGCTATTTATTCTTCCCCAGGGATAAACATTTTATAAAAGGTTCTGGATGAATGTTGAAATAAAGAGATAATAAAATAGGTTAAATAAAATAATATCTCCAATTTTTTAGTATATTATTTTTGATAATTACAACATTAATTTCTAGTAAGATACTTTTTTGTAACTTATTTTTAGGTAAAGAATCTATTTTCTCCCTATAGATATTTAGAAGAAAGGAAGTGGCATTGTAAAACTTAGTTCACAATGTAAAACAACAAAAACTTCCAAATTCAGCCATACTTCATTTTCTCTACCCACACGTATCCCTCTAAGGATTGTGGTAAATAAAGATAGCTCCGTGTCCTCCACAATAAGAATTYCCCACTGTCCTTGAGGTTTCCCTGCCCAGCTCCTTATGATATYCGGCTGGTTGAAATAATCTAATGTCCGACTTTTCTAACCTAAAGCCTCAAAGTGATTTAAACAATTGCCATATTTAGCTACTAAAGGTGCTTGCCTTTACAATATTCTCTCTAAATATTGAATGAATGGTTTTCTCTTCTTCTTTCTCTCTGGCGGAAAAAAAAATATTTGTCATAAAGTCAAAAGGAGAAAAAGACTTCTTGTTAGGTTCCCGACATGGTACCAGATTTATCATAGCTCTCATTTTTCTCTATACAGTTAAATTGCACAATAAAACTGTCCCATCCGCTAACACTTAAGATTCACTCTTAAAGGAAATAAACAGACAGAATTCCCMAAAGAGAAACTTTTTTGATAATTTCCCATGAAATATAGTTATTCCTTTGC